CTTCCTCCTCGCCTGTCTTCATGAGACATCCCCAGGGTGAATCCTTCACTTACACACAAACAGTCTGTCGCCTCAGCTACCTACTATTTATCTCTTCACTTATCTATTTTCTTACTGCTCTACAGTAAATATCCAATCATAATTTGATAATGGCATCCTCGTCCTATTGCTGTACTCTGCCTGGTGGTTAAACCATGAACATTAAAACGATTGCTATATATAGAATTAAATTAAAAATGGTTCCAAGACTGTCACTTCCTGTTTTGCCCCCAGTATCTTTTTGTCCCATGGGCAGGAACTAAAGGGAGCAATATTGTGAGCTGTGCACAGATGATTTCAGAAATTGGCGCTACCAAGACCAGACTAAAAATAAAACATGTTAAGTGGCTTGGGGGAGAGAAAAGAATGGGCTGCTTCCCAGGCACACTTATTACCCTTTCTTACAGTTTGCTTTCTTTTCTTTCATTTCAGATTCAAGAAACCCCCATCTGCTCAAAGACAGCTTTGTTAACTCATAGTCAATGCAAGATAAGTGGCAAGTTAAAGTGAAACTGCTTCCTTGAGATGACATTTTGTCCTTGGAACAATCGAGTGAAGAGCCATCATCACACCGTTTCTGAAGACGAGAGACAGGGAAGCCTTGTGACTCCCTAAATGGACTCAGCACCCTGCAGGTGTCTTTGAGCGTGCAGAAAGAATCGATCGAACATGAGCATCCCAACTGGTTTCCAGGGACTTCGGGTCAATGTTGAAAAAGGAGAAAAGACTGGAAACAAAACCCAGATCCAGTTTCCCCGATCTGGGAATGATAATGCTTATCGATTATCTTCGACTACCGATCAAGGAGGGAGAAGATTGACACATGACACGGGATATAGCACAAGCTCCATTCCTCCTTTGGTCTCGCAACGCGATTCCCCGGACAAGTTAGTGATCTGGGGCTCCGAGCAGCGTTGTTTGGAGCCTGACCTCGAAAAGTTTGAGCTTTTGGACTGTCAGGAGATACATAAATTCTTGGGAAACAGAGATCAGGATGATGGCGATGACGATGGAGGAAGTTTGAGGGACGGAAGAGATGACGGTCTCATGTCCATATCCTCAAGCTCAACTGCCAGCTCTGCTTCGACCGGCGTGAGAAGAAATGACAACGACAACAACAAAGTGGAGAGCAGAACACACCGGGACGCAGAGGTGCAGAAAAGGATTGCCTGTCATAGCACTGAAGACTTGGACATATGTGTGACAGGCTCAGTAGAGAAACGGGACAGCAGGTCAGGGAGAGACAGGGAGAGAAGGAAGGGGGGTCTGAAGGAGTCCAAGTCTGAGACAAATGTATTCGTCTCCAGTCTGTCAGCTGTTTCTTTCAGCGGGAGTCTGTCAAATGTGCTGGATAGTGGCGGAGAGGCGCAGTCCCTCATCTCTCTGTCCTACTCCAAGACCAACCCTTATTCCCATACAAGCCAAACTACCTCAGCCCAGACCAGAACAAGGGCAGGCTCTGTGGATGCTAACCAGAACTCCCCGCCACCGTATTCTCAAGAGAAACACGACCATCCTCAACTGTACAGGCAGGATCAGAGACAAGAGGATGTAAGTCAGTATAGAAATGGATTGTCTTTTGACGGTGGGCTGGGCCAAAGGAGGAAGGCAGGATTTGAAGAGAGGGTGCTGCCACCGAGACGACAGCAGCTTGTCAGACCCCTCTGTCAGACGGAGATGGGAAGAGCTAGGAGCTTAGCAGAGCCCAGTACTTATCAAACTCAGACAGGGCAACCTTCTTCCCCCAACCCCTTCCCAGATTCAAACAGGAAGTTTACAAAGTCAGCTTTACGTGAACCCTCAGATTTCTCCAACCTGTACAACCCTACTGGAGTCTCACAGCCCAGGCAAAGCAACCAGGCACCTCCTCCAGTAGAAAAACAGCCTGCTACAACTGCATGGCGAAATTCAAGTCCTTCCACTATTGAGAAGAGACCCCAGACTCAGTTCACATACAGAAGGAATTGCTCCAGTCCCAACAGGATGGGGATTGATTCAAGGTCATCTACCCCTCCCCACTCTCCTCTCAGGACACCCCAGGGTTCACCTCGCAGGGAGCCCTCCATGTACATCGTTTCCAGGAATATCCCTGGAGTGGTTCGACACCTCCCGTCAGGATGCAACCCCGCTGTAACAACATCAGCTCAGGGCTATGGCAACATTTGCATGAGAGCACCGGTGAAAACCAATATAAGCACAAGTGGAATTCCTAAAGCGCCTCCTAACAACCAGCAGAGCCACAACCCCAAAGAGAGCTCCCCATCACCTAAACTCAGACCCAAAGGAGTCCGGCCCAAAATCATTACCTCGGTCCGAAAGAATCCTCAGTTTAAGCCCCAGGCTGCTGACGGACCTTATCAGGTTTCCTCTCTACCATCCAGGCTGTCAGCGTACACACACGGCCAAACAGCCCCCTCCTATAAAGACAATACAAATGACCCCTCCAAGCCAGACTCAGACACCAGAGGACCCCCAGTGCTCAGTGCCTCCAATCTGCTTTATGACAAATACCGCCAAGACATGCAGACAAACATCTATCCATCAGGAATAATGAGCAGGAGTATCAGGCAGCCCGGACACACACACACCGTCCCGCCTGCACACACACACAGCCATTCAGCACCCCCGAAGCTAGGCAACAAAGCAGACTCCTTCTACAGGGCACCATCAGAGGTGAGTAATGTTTGTCATAACTGTGAGTGTTGGATTGCAAGGTTTTATAATAAATGTTTCTTAAGGCAAGGCAAGTTTATTTATATAGCACTTTTCAACTCAAAGCAATTC